ACAATAGAGGTGAGAGCAGGAGGGAGTCCTAAATCGCTTGTTTGCACACAGGTGGAAAGCAAGCTACCTCCAGGCTTCAGATGTTGTGAAACTGAATATCATAAACATACACTTTCGAGGTCATTCCAGTAACTCTGCCCTTGTATGATTGATATTGCAGAGCTATTCTCACTCCTTTTCATAATTTGCTTGTTGGACTTAGGTCTCCAGAAGTAGGAGTCTCCTTGTCAAGTGTAGACATCTGCAGAGTAAATGTTAACATACAAATCAGTCATCCTTGGTTGCCTTAATCAACAAAAAAGTAGAGATCGGTAAGGGATGATGGTATCTTCCATTAACAGTCATCTAAAATCAATCAGCTATGCCATATCATACACATTTCTAGGTATTTACAGTGGAGATATTAAAAGTTATTGTCATCACAAATGTCAACAGATATTCTCAGATATCCTTTCTCTTTTTTGCAGTCTTGTGGCCTGATCTGCTCAACAAGGTCTGAAGATTCTCTCCAGACACATATCACATACCCTGGTATGGTGGAAGAAGGAAAAGCATCACCTCTTTTGCAATGCTGTGGACTTGATGACTGCCGTAATATGTAACAATAACATTATTGGATTTAAACTTCTACAGTTTTATATCTTCCATATCCCCTGAAATTTCTACACAATAAGACCAAAGTAGGTGTAGAAGTCTCACCAGATCGGAATGTTTCACCTACATCACTGGTTGCATCTCATGTCAGACTGAGTCTCTTAGTGTCAGACTCAGTGCCTTAGTACCAGAATTTTCAGAAGAACAGATAAAATAGAATAACTGGATAAGTATTGTTTTCCTTCTTCAATCTTAGAAAAACATATGATTCCTCTTAAAGCACTTTGAAGTCCTCTTCCATAGTTTAGCCTTATCAAAATTCTTTACAGTTATTTAGAGATTTGTCACTTTTTAAAAAGAAATGTAGGGCAAGGCCTTTGTAGCTCTTTAATGTTTTGTGCTACTGGAAGGAGATGGATTGGTGCCCTTAAATCTAATCCAGGACCTACAGCAAACTCATAATTTGTTGGACTCCTAGTAGGACACCAGATAGAGTACTCAAAGGCATCTCAGGTGATCCTAATTACCTAGGTTTATGCAGTAAAAGTAAGACTTCAGTTGATCAAATAACTCTTTCAATAAGAAAATTCATTCAGCCACATGTGGCTATCCTATGCTTTTTTTCTGATTCTCTTCAATGGCTGAGGCATCTTTGGGACTGACTGATATGACTAGAGCTGATGGGACTCCTACTGGACCTGTAGCTGGAGGCCAGGCAGAATGGTATGGGGCATCGTGCTGGCACCAGATGTCTATGTCTAAGAGATTGGATCAAGTTCTGCTGTGTGTATTCTTTCTGAGGACAAATCTTTGAAAAGATGTGGATGATATTTGAGTAAATACCTCAACATGAATAGTATCATTTATTCAGTAGCTTCCTTTATTCATTTTTTCTCACTTTGAGCCAGTGATTGCCTCAGTGGCTGAAGAAGAAGCAAAACAGAAGCATGGAAAAGAGCTGAGGTTATTGTGCCAGGAGGACAGGATGCAGCCCAGCTGCCAACAGAAGCTGCATCACTGCTTCTTGGTGCCTTGTAGCAGCCCTGATCTAATGACAAAGCCTTGGATTCTCATACCCATAGTACTAGAAATCATAACATTCCTGAACCTGACCTGAGGGTGAGTTCTCCCACAGGTCATATTTCCTGCCTGTAGAAGGGAGGAGGTTATCTTCTGGCACAGATGCTCAAATGTCTTAGCAGGGAGAAACACGGATGAGTAAGTAATGTGAATCTATGGAGAAGGGTAAAACGCAAAAGAAAAAGATTCTGAGGGGTAGCTGAGATAGATATGCGAAAATGGTCATAGGAGTCATTAAAAGTTACCCCTTTGAATAAGATAATAGAGTAAGCTAATGTGGTGAGGGTGGAACTCCCCAGATGATAGTCTGTTCTCTGCTGTACCAAGTTCCCATCTAGTTACCTTTCTTAAATTTTATTATTTTATTTCAAATTCATAACCATGGCATTTTATTACAGGCATCACAGTCTTCTCTTCACCACATCTAACCAAGCTTTGTTTGAGCAAAGCATTCCCTGGCCAAGGACAAGGCTTGGAAGTGGTAAGGAGATGGAATTCCTGTGGCTGCTGGCATGTGCCCCGTATGCTACCCTATGGCAGTGATGCTCAATGGCAACACTGGTCTTGATGCTCCATCGAGAATCCTTTCCATGTGAGTCCTTGTAACTAACCTGGTAGTTACTGACATCTCAAAGGACTGCAGGGTTTGGCTGTCAAGTGGAAACCCATTTAGGCTCCATGGGGTGACATTTAAAAGTGCCGTGATGTGCCATCTGCTGAAAATGTGAAATAAATGCAATACATCAAAGAGACAGAGCAGGAGGAAAGAGGAGTAAAACAGGAAGACAGTAAAATATCCCAGGACAGCAATGGCATCGCTCACAGTCCTGAATGAAGGAAGGCTGAAGACAGACTCCTAGAAAAACAGACAGGCACAGTAGAACAGAGTAGACAGCATTCCTTATATTCAGTCTCCCAGGCTGTTCAGCCTCAAATCAGTAAATCAGTTACTTTACAACATTACAAAAAATCAAGAGAAACCTATTATATTTTTAACAAAAAGACTTTTTTTCTTTTTTTCTTTTTTTCTTTTTTTTTTTTAAATGGAGTTGTAAGAAGAAGTATGAGAGAGCTCACAGCTTTAATCAAGCAGGAAAGTCAGACAAGTCACCATACTGGCCACAGACAGAAACAGTTCATAGTAACTCATGAATGAAATAAACACACCAGTAAAACAAGGATATACAGTAGGTTGTGTCACAGCCATTCACTGTATAGTTAGATGCCCTTTCCCTCTGAAACACCTGCACACTTTATAGTCATTACGCCTTAGGGGTAAGCATCACCTTATTTTCACCTTTGCCTGCACTGTAAGAACTGCTCACCCTCAGCCTAGATTACAGTTAGTGGAAAGATACAGGCTTTTTGTGCTATGATTCAGCAGTTCAGTGTTTTAATGCCAGCTTTAAGATGAGATCATTCAATTTCATTTATTATTTCTCTCTAATGACTGTAAAGGGTGTCTGGAGTATTTGAGATAGAGAAATTCATATCTATGTTGTTGATACTTGAACTGAAGCTAACTCTTTGCTGTTTCATGCCTATCTGTATTAGACAGGATGAATCTCATCTTCATAATGCTTTTTTTATTTGTTCTTTGCTGCAGTTGGTGAGTGCTGCCCACCATTTGGCACCATTAGGCTCCGCTCTCAGCCTGCAATCCTTTTTGTGAGGGCCTGCAGGCCTGGGACCCAAGAGGAGAACCAGCAACTGAGGCTGGGAGGATTTAAGCTATCGACTTATGACCACTTGTAGGCATCAGAAGTTGTGATTAATCCAAATCTGATCTGACCTGCAGTCTGGACTCTGACATGGAACTGCTGCCCTGGTGGTAAGATCTTGGATTTGCAGACCACCACAGTGTCTAGCACAGCCAAGGGGAATGGCCATCGCATCAGAGTAGTGATGGATGTGCCTTCTCCCGTAGACACTGAATTTGATTCAAATGGTGCCTAGTAGCCTTTCCCTGATGTCACTGGAAGGATGTATGATGAAGGCTGAGGTTGCCAGGCACTGAGAAAAAATCTACATACCAAGTCAGTTTGAAAGATTACTTCCCCGCTCCCTAGTATGACGTCCTTTGAACTCCCCAGGGAACAAACACCATCACTAAATGCTTCCGTAACCTATCAGTTTCAGTGACTACTAATAAAATACCCAGTGAATAAACATTGCAATACTCTGACATTTTAGAGTTCTCTCTCTGTAAAGGCTTCAGAGTACTTCACAGACGTGCACTCAGACCATATTAGATAAGGTCCTGCATCCTGGAGCAATTAACGAACCACTCTGTTCAATTTCCCAGGTGACACCCCTACTTGTCCCTAACGATCAGAAAACAACTCAAGCTCTGGCGATATTATAAGAACGTTTGTTGTTTTATTCTTTTTGGTGGGTACAAAAACCACAGTTTCTTACACAGAACAAGATTATAAATAATATCTGTAACATGAGTGACCCGTAGTCTCTTTTGATTCTACACTGCAGACTGACGATGTATTCTAAACATTTTTTCATTTTCTTTCTTGTATTAGACAGATGCAAATCTGTGGAACACGGAATGATGGAACAGAATGAAGGTAACAGCAAACAAGAGGATGACCAACAACTTTTATAAAAAAAAAGTCTCTGAATTTTATTACAGTGATGGCATTTTATATCAATTATTGCAATGAACTGTTCCCTAAGATGGTTAGAAAAAAGAATTGTGTTGTCCTCTACCGAATTTACATCAGTTAAAAAGCAAGCATGTTTCAATATTCCTCTTTTTTCAAAGAAAATGTAAATAATTTCTTTATTTTTTTTCACAGGATTTACATATTTATTATTTTCTTATCACAGTTTAGTGATTCATTTCTACAGCTGAACAGCTGAATATTCTTCCATTGTATATATTGATGTTCTGGAGACACAGGTTAGCATGTTCATTGACTTCTATAGCTATTTTTCTCTCTTTGTCAAGACAAAGACTGAAATGTTCTCTTTTCTGAGCATGTTCTTCACAGTTTAATGCGCTAAATTGGAAAGTCTTATTAGTTTTTAGTCCACTCAAGTGAAATTTGTTGCTGTTAATACGCCCTTCCCAGCCCCCTCCCCCCAACAAAACTAAATTATGAATTTTCCTGATATAAAATCTGAGTTTGGGTTTCCGAGCTGAGCTCATGCACACATTGTTGCTGATGATGACTGGCGCATTTGGACGTACTTCCCTTTCTCAGCCAAATTATTAGTTCATCAATGACACTCCCATGTCGTTACAGTCTGTGCTGTGTTCCCATCAGTCACCAACACAGTTTAATTAAGGCACTCAATTATTTTTTTGGTTTTTATGGTAGGTCCGATGCAATTACAGCCAATCCTGAACTTTGTCTAATTGCAGTTCCGGAATGCACAGCCTTCGGGCAGTCGGGAGTCAATACGCGGCCATTTTCACCCACACTCCCCGTGATGGATAATCTGGCTTTGTTTCTTATGGCTTCAGAAAAGGTAAGCTATGATCAAAAATAAAGGAGAAGAGAAAAAAAAAAGTGTTAGAAAGGTTCTACCCTTCAAGAAACCAGAACACAGCAAACACCAAAATATTAGATTTTAGACATCTGCATTTTTTTGTCATTTTAACATTATAGTTAATAATAATCATATATACAAAATACATAGCATACTAGGGGAGAAAGGCTCAAAATTCCGAAGTTAAAATTTATTACAATAAATCATCATCCATTTAAAGAGAAATTCCAAATTTGAACAGTAAATTAACAGAAGAAGGAATACTTTCATGTAAAGTACTTCAAACTACATTCATATATTGTGAAATGAGAGTCAAGACCTTTCATGAACCTGAAAGTATTAGCACCTTTGAATAAAGTTATGCACAAGTATTTGTAGACTGAGACCTTTGAAGAGGTATTTCAAGGTAAAAAGTAACTACTGAAAATTGCTTACAAATCGTTATAGCTCTTTCAATTATCTTTGTGATAATTCCATGGATCAAATCTAAAGAAGTTATTACTTCTATTCATAGTGCATCCATTCACAAATCTCTTTTCCTATATGTATTTTGCTGTAATCAGGAAAGGCAAATATAGTTCACTGAGAAAACACATTTTCTATGGTTTTCTACATTAAAACTAAATTTTCCACAAGAGGATTTTAGATCCTGCTATCTCTAAGTCATTACCTTCAGTTAAGTCAAACAAAATATTTTGTTTAGAGACTGATTGCCTCAAACAGAAGAAAAAACATTTATAGTTCCAGCTAACTTCAGCCATTCGAAAATAAGGAATCTAATCTAAGAAGGCTCTCTTGGAATGATAGAAAAAGCCAATGTGCACCTGGCACAGCAGGCACCTGAATTACACTGTATTGAAACAGATTTCAGAGACACTGTGTTAAGATAATAATTAGTGGGTAATTCTCATTTCTAGCCAACAGAAACCATACTCTGTGCAACTAACTCCTATAACTAATGTGCAGGGATGCAATCTGGAATACTGATTGGAAAAAATGGGATGCAGGAGAGTGCATTCATGTAGGAGCAAAGGGATGACAAACATAAAATCATTTTATTTGCCTTGTTACTAATCTCTGCATTTAGAGCTTTGTCCCTCTGAGTACAGTTTCTCCTTCCAAGGTAGCAACGAAATCCTAAACTGAGATAAGGGAGATTCACTTAAAACTCCCATTCTCTGGGTACACCTCTAAGAAATGCACCCGCCTCATATTGCATTGCATTACTAGCTCCTTCCAAGAAGAATTCTTCCAAGTATAGCTGCCCTTATGGCGCAGTAGGATATGTATAAGAGCAACTTCCCAAATCAATCGCTGGAAAATTCTCAGGATAAGGCCCAGCTTACAAAGGGTGTTGTGGCATTCTCCTCAAGCTGAAAACTTTGGCTTTGTTAACCATCAATTACAACATCCAAAGTAATCCTTTGAAAAGTCTCCCTGCTGCTGCACTACTCTGTGGCAGGGATTGCTACCCAGCAGATTTTATCCTAATTCAACAGCTAGATATAAAAATCGAGAGATAGATAACGAGTGAGTGAGGACCTGGACCCACACAGAGTTCCACTAAATACAAAAGACTTCAACTACACCCAGCAGCAAATAAAAAACTACATTTACACAGATACAATGCAATGTGGTGGAATTCCACATGGTGCATGTCCTGTTGCAAATGTGCATCAAGGATTGTCCATCTGCAGAAATGCACAGAACGTGTTTTGGTCAATGGCAAGAAAAGGTCTTTAGCTGAGTTCTGGGCAGGGATGGGAGACCAGACCAGATCAGAATGCAGTCTGGGTTGGAAACAGGACAGCCTACTCCAGATTTGGTGAATTTCCCAGCAGATTGTCACGGCGTACAGCATCTTTCCATCCCTCTGCCACTGGGAAATCAGAGCTCATGTTTACAGGGGATATAGGTGATACACTGAGCTATGCAAAAGTTTATGTTTTTCTAGCTTTGTGGCTTTCTGGCCATTGACAACATGCTCAGGACAGAAAAACACTGAAAAAGGGATCTACAAAAAAAAAAAAAAAAGAAAAAAAGCAAATGAGAAAGAACAATTTCTCAGCAGCCTTCCATGGAACAACAGAAAAAGCTGCACTAAGGCAACTCCCCTCTGCTCACAGCACAGGGTAACAATTCAGCAGCACACTGCAGGAAACAACCCAGACAGTCGACAAAGCCAGCAGGAGCAGGTCAAACTTGTACTCAGGAAGTTGCCATAAAGCAAACTAACCAGATATGTGTCTGTGTTTTGTTTCAAACTAAGCTGTGGGTAATGAGCCAGGCTAATACTGCGCTTGATTGTGCTGCTACAATTTCAGATTTATGGCCTGGCTTTAAAAATGGTTTCAGGAGAGGCTGGGATAAGAGGGAAAACTCCTGCTATTTGCTAAGAATGTTAGGAAGTCACTGTTCAGTAAGTACTCAGTTAGTAGTGTTACTTTCAAACTTAGCCGTAGTTAGTTTTCATATTAATGTCATTAGTTTTGATTAAACTAGTTGTTCACTTAATCACATGAAAATGTTGCCTATCCTCTTCCCAGCAGGAAATAGGAATGTGGGAAGCTGATCTCCTCAGTCTATGTAATGTAAGTACCCAGTTGCTGGGTTTGTTTGTTGTTTAGATGTCTCTAGCACCTGGGTCACCTGGGAATGTCTTTGCAAAGATATTGAAGATGAACTTTCAAATACTTTCACTATATGGAATATGAAATTGGAAGTATATAAGTCAAGATAGGCACATTACAGATTTACTGAGCGGTCTTTTACTATTTGGCCTTGTTAGCCATTCATTTTGTAATTTCATGTAAATATATATATAAATATATATATTTGTAAATTTTGTAGTTAATTTGGTCGGTTATAACCAGCACAAGGTGGGAGCGCAAGCAAAAGCAGTGGAGCTGGGAGCTGGCTGGTGAGTCTCATGGCCCACGGTGAGGACTGTGGTGGTTTTGGCGGCTCGGAAGGTGCCTGTGGGACAACCCCTTTGTCGCTCATGGGTTTGACAGGAGGAAGCCAGCAGTGGTTTTCTCTGAGCAGCTGGAGAGAAGTGTCGGCTCCGCATTTCCTCCAGATATCAAGTTGACTGGCTTACCAATAAATAAAATGGAAAAGTGCTGCTCGGGGAAAGGGAAGGGATTGCTCCCACTTCAGAGCACACTTCCTTCCCTGCCAGGGGCAGATGCAATAGTCTGTCCTCCCTTCTGAACATCTTTACCACACGTTTGTGTACTTGTCTTATGTTTCCATATTCTGCTGCCTCGCAGACTGGCGAATTTCCCTGTAGCTACTCGTTTCTTACTGGATTCAATTAGAAGAAAAAAAATAGTAATAAATGTTAATTTCCAGGTGGGTTATTTAAGCTGTTTTCTATTAGTTTAACACATAAATAATTTAAATTATTTGATGTCAGCTTAAAAATAAGCATGTGGGTTACTCATGCAGGTTAGAACTGCCAAGAATCTTTCTGTATTAGCAAGTTTTAGTTCTAATACGATCCCTTTACACCTCAGATAAATGAACACATCTGGGGTTTTGAGGTGCTAAATGCAGACATATGTCTGCAGAAATATGTGTGTGCAGCACTGTGGCTCTGTGCTGCTGTGGGCTGGCAGAGGTCTATGAGCAGTGTGGGCAGGAGAGGGCACATAGGTGGCACCACACTGCTGGTGAGTGTAACCTCACCTCAGCAGGCTGCCTCCAACAAGCAGAAGCTCTTCTATGTCAGGTTCATATGCTAAGATTTCTCTAGTAACTAGTACAGCAAACAAGATAAGGAGAAGGAAGAATTTCTGAAGTCAATAGATATCTGCTCAAAAATCCAAAGCAATTTCTATTTTTTTTTGAAAATTTTTGAATGCCTGGATCTTGAAATGCTTTTTAAAATGTTATCAGAAGTTATCACTTGGGCAAAGATGAATTTTCAATAAAACAAAATGCCGGCTTTAAAAAATTAGTCATCGGGACTAGTTTTGCTTATGAAAAGGCACTTATCATTGGAACTTCTTGTCATATGCACACATTGTTCTATGTATTGGGCTAGGGATGCTCTCAGTGATGGGCACTAAAGAATTCTTGATTAAAGGATTTTTTTTTTTGCAGTTACTTTCTTGGGATTATTTCATGGAATCAGAGACTCATAGAATGAGTCTGCCCAGGGTTCCGTACAACCTGGCTTTGAACAACTCCAGGGATGGGGCATCCACTGCTTCTCTGGGCAGCCTGTGCCAGGGCCTCACTTCTTTTTAAGACCTTTGTTACAGAGAACAGGCTGTGAGCTTGGATATTGTCACAGTAGTGACCTGTACCCCTGGAGCCACGATGACACCTGCTTAGCTGGGTGATCCATCAGCAAACTGATGCTTTGCTGGCTGTGCACAAATCAGGCACAGTAGGATATTAGGTTCCATGACAATGCACATGTACCCAGGGCCATGAGTTGTGTACAACAGAGAAAAACAGAAAACTGCACCACAACATGTTTGGGAAACTCCCCAGCCAGCGCATGCCAAGCCCCCCCTTACCATGAGAACCCACCTATTCCTTGCAGCGCTCCAGCTACCATGCTCAAGCACCATGCTCTGCTCACTCTGTGTCTGCTCTGTACTGTATGGTTCGGTACTGTACCGGCTGTGTCTTTAGCCTGTATGCTCCTCGGGACAGGGACCTGCTATGTGCTTGGCACACTTCACCTATAGTACAGCGCCGTGTACTCCAGCGCTATATGAATAATAAATAAAAAATAATAATCGCATCTCCAGTTGTTTCCTCTGAGTTTTTTTTCAAGGTGGCAACATGACATTTCTATTCATCTCGTTTCGCTTAATTTTTGTTTGTTACTTCCTCTACAGGGATAGCTCAGTGATTTCAGGAGGATGTAGCTGTTTGTTAGAAGAGACAGAGATTGCTGTGTGCAAAAGAAGGGGACTCAAAGTAGCAATGAGATGGCAGCGTCCTGGCAGCACCTCTGTTACAAAGCAGCCAGAATAGCTTGGAAGCTATGGAAGAGTTATGTTTAGAAGCTGCGTGCCATTTTCAAAGGTCAGGGGAGCTGATTTGACTATTTTACTAATGATTAGTTGGCAAGATAATCACCGCATGGATGAGATCAAATGCATTAGTAAACTATTCCTGCATGCTTTCTAAGGGGAAGTATGCAGGATGCAGCTCAGCAATTATCAGCATTTCAGGCTGAAATCACTGCATGAGCATCTGAAAACTGTGAGTCCAGAGCAAGGAAAAGGGCATATTTATTGAAGACTGAGGACAGTAGTCTGAGTCTGTTCAGTGGTTAGTGATTTTGTTGGTTATTATGGTGGGCAAAGCTTGACCTGAAGCAGGATATTGTGGGGGGGAGGGAGGAAAAAAAAAAAGCCACACAATTAGCATAAAACATGTACTGAAGGGAGGGTGAAGGAGAAGGGTGGTGAGGAGGAGGAGAAGATAAAACAACATTTAGACTTCTTGTAACAGTGCCTTGTCTTCCATTAGGTTGACTATGGTTCAGTGACGTTACCTATCCTAAATCCTCATTGTAAGATCCAGTTAGGGCCAACAGAGAATAATAAAAGCTTACATCAATTTGTCACCAGTAGAGTGCCAACCTTTAGGAGGACAGACTGGCCAATCAAGTAATTAAACACTGGCCCTCTGGATATGTATTTTAGTACCTCAATTTCAAATAGCTGTCATCTCCCAACAGATTGAATAACATTGGGCTGTTATAAAGATAATTTTTGTGTTAAAAATTTCTTGTAATGCAGATGTCTATTAGCAACATAGAATAGTATACTGTACATCTGCAGCCAAAAAAACTGAACCACTTTGCACTGAAGTTTTCCAAAATATAAAGCTCTGTTTAGAAGCAAGCACCACTAGACAGACAGGTCACAACACTGCAGTACAAGATGCATCACCCACTCACTGTAGTAGGCCCTA